AGGTTCATATTTGAAAAAACTTGTAGACTATCAACTATAATGCTTGAATACAAAGTCCTCCCATGTATTAATGGTTCTTCTACTTCAAAATTGGTGGTCAGCATTTAATGGGTAACTTTGGTGATCGTAATTGCTCTATATTTCAACAAATAACATCTCCCTATCTAGTAAATGCATGGTCAACACAAACCCAGTTTTAGAGCTTAATATGAAGCATCTGCATTAGAGAATTAGATGCAAAAAATGAGGCGATTTCCATTGGAGTTGGTTTTGGTTTCTATATGAGCGTCTGAGAGAGTAAATTTTCCATTGTTTCTATTATTTTGCTTAATTTTCAAGATCTTTTTCACCAAACAATAGTCTTTAAATATTATAGATTTAAAATAAAACATATAGTTGTTGTTAAGATTTACTGTATGACATTTCTCAGACCCATCTATGTTCCTTGTGCTATCTTGTATGAAATGTTTCCAATGACTGGGAGAAATTTATTATGCCATCCTGTATGCAAAAGTCGATACTACCAGGATCAACTAAATTGTAACAGATATGTTAGTTGAAGATTAGTTATGAAAAGAAAATGACAGAATAATTTAATTGTTACGAATTCTTTAAGCTAACCAATGATATTGTCTAAAATTCATGACTGGGGACTTGAATTCGGATATTTTAGGTGAAAATGTATACAAGATCTCACTACTAGTTAGCTCACTACAGCTGCCTATTTTAGGCTATAGCCATTGGCAATATAAAACCTAGAAAGTTAAAGCCTTTTTTCCACACAGGGCATGAGGACGTGAAGATCAGAATGACGAAAACTTTAGGAGAGATGGAATTAACTGATCATAATAAATCATCTCTGGTTGAAGAGGGTGTCTTAGATTTACTTCTTGTCTTGATCTCACGTGATAACCTTGAAATGAGAATAGAAGCAATTCGAGCCTTACTGAACCTTTCAAGCTTACGAAAGAATGGCCAGGAGATGATAAGAAAAGGTGGTGTGCGTCCATTGCTTGACATTCTCTTATGTCACACTTCATCTCAAAGCTTGCGTGAACTTGTAGCTGCTGTTCTTGTGAATCTTTCTCAATCAACAACACTTCAAGATTCAGGAGAATCACAGGTTTTGATGTTGGAATCCGACGAGGACATATATAAACTTTTTTCATTAATTAACTTAACAGGACCTGCTGTGCAGGTAAACGTTCTCCGGGTGTTATATGCCATGTGCCTATCTCCCTCTGGTACTACTGTCAGGGAAAAACTGAGACAGGTAAAAACTCCCTGTTTTTGCTCTCTCATATTCAACTGCATGCTTTCGAAAATCAAGAAACAATGTGTTGTTATGCAATTTAGGATTTGTAGAGCGTTAATGCTATGTGTTTAAAATGTCTTTCATTCTCAGATGAATTATGACGCTAGCCACCATTTTTATTTTGCTCTCTAAATGAATAATATAGGATTTAGTTCCAAGTACAAATTAGGCTGTTGGATTCTCACTGAGTGGAAGAGTCAGGGTGAAATTCGGGATTTTCCTCGAGATAGTGTGAGAAATCCTCGTAATGACCCATTTCTTAGTGGATTAGAATTCACCTGTGCATGTAAGCTTATTTTAGCTCAACAACGCAAGTTTGTGTTTGCTTTACTTTTCTGTTCTCAGTATAATCTACTCAGTTTCTCTTGTACTATGTCATAATAGTATGCTACCATAAATATAGTATATGACTACTATATAACCACAAAAAGAATTTCGAGGGACACCAAGAGATTTGGTTGAAAAAGAGGTATTAGAACGAGAATGTCATGGGGGGATTTGTCTTCTCTACAATTGGTGCATTAGACTATTATATATGCATGTGGGAAATTTATCCTCCCAGGAGTTTGATATAGGACATTCTTTGTGTAACAGAAGTTCTAACCTAACTTCAACCTGGTCACTCACGTCCATCTCAACACCAATAATTTTGAACAAACTTTGTTGAGCCATAAAAAACATTTGGCATAATGTTTTTGTCCTTATGGAGGGACAAATTGCTTACACCATCAAGTCTCAAGCCATTCATGTACATGAGTTTTTCTTATACACCTTCAAAGCATCCACACCTTCAAAGTTACAAATAATAATATTCTATTAACAAACATAAATCTTTATATCCTTTCAATTGGTGATGTGAAATTTTAACCACATATTGTTAACAGCTTTTGTAGTACAGATATAGATATATATTTTTTACTTCTAGTTTGACTCTGGTTGAACCTTTTGACCCTTAATCCCTAACTTTTTTCCACTCAATATCCGGCTAGTTTTTAAAACACTGGTCTATGATGAACAACCTTTGCTTAATTCAAATTTGTTGGGGAACTGCGGTGGCATCTTTGATGCTCGAACTCTTCAAAACGGTTGGAGTACCCGTGTCGGATACAACACGACATGACATGGGTATGTGTTCACTAAAATTATACACAGCAAGTGCACGAGTCACATTCAAGTAATAAAGTAGACATTTTAAGTTCAGTTGTCGATTCCTCGAGGAATGTATACTTTCGATTACACAACTCTAATCAATTCTATTCTAACAATAAAAAAAACACACACACACAATAAAGTTTATGATTTTGGAAAATAACTAAAAAGCTACAAAATAAGAAAATGTAAAAATCTTGGAAATTTTGGAAGCAAACGTGGTTGGGATTCATGATTTTGTTTAACCGTTGCCTAATTAATTTCTCCGTAAGCCAATTAACAAATTACTCATCTATGATGTTAGACCCGATCTTCCAATTTTAGTTAATTGCCTCTCTTGAGTGAAATTAACTCTAATTGATTGGTTTAACCTTCTATATTTTTATGTCAATTAAAATCAAACAATCGTATTAAATTTTTTTGAAAATAGCTCTTGGGTCATCAAGGGTTTATCTCTATCCCTTACACAAATTCAAGTTTATATATTTGGTCGAAAATGCACAATTTTCTTTCAAATAATGTACAAATCACTAAACATAATCATTCATTGGCCACATAAATGAAAATGCAATAAGTACAATAGTAGATAAGGAAAAAAGCATTTTGATATAAAATAGCAAACATTGAAATTAATTAAAGCTAGATGAAACTTGAATCATAAATCCCAACATAAATAATTAGCCCATTTTATGCAAGTGATAAAAAAGAGAATATTTCATACAATACATTGCAAATAGGAAACAATAATGAAGAAAATACAGGAGTGAAGATAAAATCCTTTTGAATTTGGATTCTTGATAGCTTGATCTTGATTTTCCCCAAATATTTGTTCTCCAAGTGTATTCTCCTTGTGCTCTTAGATTTAGCCCATAAATTACCAAGAAAAAGAAGAGATAAAGAAAGAAAAGAAAGAAAAATGAAAAGGAAAGTGAAAAAGGAAAAGAAAGAGAAGAAGGCTAGGCTTTTTTTAAGATGAGAATGAGGAGAAAATGGTTGAATTTGCCTTTTAAAAGGCCCAAAAATTGTATCCCATAATTGTAAGATGGTCAAAAATTTATACAAAATAGCCAAACAGGCCCTTTCTTGTAGTCGTAGTGCCGTTGAGTAGCACCACAGCTCTTTAATTTAGCCAGTATTGTGGCACCGCGGCGCTGCTACAATGGCGCCGCGCACACCACTTCCTAATTTTCTCTTTTTTGCAGCTCCAGTTGTTCGGATATTTGTACGTCAAGTTTCTCAACTTTCATCTTGTACATTTTAGTCCTCGGATTTTGACTTTTATATCAATTTTACCCTCCATAAATTGCAGCCTGACGTCCTCAACTTTTGGCGCTTGTGCACTTTGGTCCCCAACTTCACAAATTTGTACGCTTTTGGTCCCTTTTTCCTCCTTTTTGCCTTGATCTCATTCAATGGGTTATTTTTGGCCTACAAAAACAAATATTACCTAATTGTGAGTAGAATTTCGTTCATTTAATCAATAATGAGCATATTTAGATATTAAATAAGTGTGTTTTTACACTTATCAATATGGGCATGGGATATGTGTTGGATCTTCCAAGTTTCAATCGGACACTTCATTGTTTTTGCTTCTATTTTTTTATTTTTTATTTTTTTGGCCCTCATTTTTGCTCTCTATAAACCAGCACCGCCTCCTAGAAGGTGGAGAAAGGTGACGGCGCAAGATTTCACCTTCTTCTTTCTTTCTTTTTTCTTTCACTTTTCTTCTTTTTTCCTTCTCTCTTTGCATTGGTGGTTTAGGTTTTGTTTGTATAAAATAAAAATGAGTTCCATATAGTGATACTTAATACTTCACTAAGTATAAATTGCAATCAATTCCCTCATTTTATATTTTACATAACATTTGATAATTAACTTTTTATAATTGAAAATTAAACCTCAAAATTCTATTTTATTCGTCTTAACCCCTTATTCGATATTCATTTCCTTCGTTGTAAACAATTGATTTTGGTTTATTCAAAATAACATCTTGGGTTAGTAAAAAAATTGAAGCGTGAAAGACGTACCTACGTACCCGTGTCCGAAATTTGGACTCTTTTTAGCCATCATATATATTAGAAAATAAAAGATTTGACACTTAGATACGTACCCGTACCTGAGTCCGAGCATCATAGAGTGGCATAACGAGAACGTGAGATCCTACTTGATGGAAAACCTTAACCAACTAGGTTTATGTCCTACTTTTACATACTAGTGCTTTTTATAAGTTCTCCACAGATTTGGGAACAAACAATTTCAACCCACCCATAATGGCATGATCATTTTCGTAAAATTTGTCATTCCATTGAACTGAAGAATGCTTTTGATGGGAAATAGACCCAGTCCTTGGCGTAATGGTGAAATGGTCGGGCTGACGACCAAAAGTTCATCCCTGGAATCTACAGTTACAAGTGCTAAAGATTCAATCCACATGGAATCCACCCTTTAACTACTTTTGTTTAAGTGGACTAGAGTATATAAGTTCCTGTTCATTTATTACTCCTATGACCAATCAACACGAAGGTTGCATGTTTATGAATTGGATTTTAATAATTGGAAAGTATTTGACATGAATTACGAAGTTTGACTTGGAGGCTATTATTGTTTTGTTCTTATCTTGTTATGTGTTGAATTACAGATGGTAGATTGGTAAATTCTCAATCTGCTTAGGTTTAATACAAATTATAATCTTAAACTTTTTGCCGTGTATAAGTCATGCTGTTAAATTTCTTATGACAAGCTTGTTACATAGCCAAATGCCAACACTAGCCATGACCATCTGTCTTCTTGTGGTTTTTATCCAAGTTGTACTCTTTGAAACTGAGAATTATCAAAAACAAAATTTGTGGTTGCTCCTGATTTTGTTTCTGGTCCGCACTGATGTTACTGCTTCCAACCTTTTCATCTGCAACATTATTTTTGTTTTAGCAATTTATATATATATATGATGGAAATGAGTATTCTTACCTATTATCTCCAAGTTTATACCATCAATTGGATGCAATCATGTTAATGCTGATTTTTGGCTACTTGATTGTCTTTGCAGTTCTCAGCAGTGCTAGTGTTGATTCGGTTATGTGAGCTTGATAATCTTCATTTACGAGCGAATGCTGTTAAACTGTTATATTGCGTGACTGAAGATAATGATGACGCTGCAATCTTGGAGCACGTGGAACGGCCATCAATTGAAGTATTGCTCAAAGTCATGAAAACTTCTGATGATGAGGAAGAAATTGCTTCTGCAATGGGCATTATTGCTAACCTTCCTGATCCCATGCAAATCTCTAAGTGGCTGTTGGAATCAGGAGGTCCTCCTATAATTTTTCGTTTTCTTCGTGATGGAAAGAATATTGGTCACCGAAAAAATAAGTTGATCGAGAATGCTGTTGGAGCCATATGTCATTTAACTGTTCAAACAAACCTGCAATCACAGAAGAAAGTAGCCGAAGCTGGAATCATTCCATTGTTAGTGCAGTTCTTAGAGGTGGGTACCTGTCTGACAAGAAAACGAGCTGCAATATCTCTTTGTCAGCTTTCAGTAAGTTCTCCTAGGCTTAGTAGGCAAATTCCAAGGCATCAGGGTTTTTGGTGCTTCTCTGCTACACCAGAGGCAGGTTGCCCTGTTCATGGAGGAATATGTACAGTAGAATCCTCATTTTGTCTAATAGAGGCTGGTGCAGTCGAACCACTTGTAAGAGTTCTAGGGGAGCCAGAACCTGGAGCCTGTGAAGCTGCTTTAGATGCACTCCTGACTTTGATTGATAGCGAAAGGCTGCAGAGTGGTAGCAAGGTGCTCGTTGAAGCAAACACTTTACCTATGATGATAAAATTAATTAGCAATCCTCCTCCAAGATTGCAGGAGAAGGTTCTTAGTTCTTTAGAAAGGATTTTTCGACTGGTGGAAATCAAACAAAAGTATGGACCCTCGGCTCAAATGCCTTTGATTGATTTGACACAAAGGGGAAACCACAGCTTGAGATCTTTAGCTGCTAGGATACTTGCTCAACTAAATGTGCTTCATGATCAGTCCTCTTACTTTTAAATGGAGAATTATCTATCGAATATCTTACTTGTTAGTCTGGATAAAGGGTTGGCTATACTGATCCCATTCTCACTTCTGAAAGAAGTATCGACTAGGAGTGATACTTATCCATTCTCAGGCATAGAAATTCCAATTTTATAGGACTGAAGTCGTCCTCCCACTTCTGTTAATGTCGCAGGTGTAAATTTTTACTTGATCTGTAGTTCATTGTGCATTCTTTTCATTTAAAAGAATCCTGATTGTTTTATTAGTGGTTGTAAATTATTACCTGAAGCTACTGCTGATAGACTGCGTAGCGAAGCCGTGTTCCAGAATTGTAGTGGGAGAATTCTTTGTAATAGATAAATAGTATATGTACTTCGATACAATTTTCTCTTTTTATGTTTGAATAAATATGTTTATTTTTCTTAGGAAATTCAATTATATATGCTGTGAATGTTGAAGGGCTTTGGCCAAAGTTCATTCAAGTTGGAATCCTACTTTAATTTCGCGAGTGTAGATGGATTATAAAGCTCATTTTTTTGAGTAGCCCATGTCTAAGAAATTGTTGCCCTGTAAAATAATGCAGCCCAAATATTAGCCTTATATTCACACACACCTTATCTCTTCTTGACAAAGGCACAAAACATTTCAATTCCAAAAATTAGTCCATCTTTCTCACTCATCCTCGACTCTCTCTCTTTGGTAGAATTCATGTTGATTTTATTCTTGTAATTTGAAAATGACAGATATTGGTCAATAAGTTCTTTTAAATGTGAATGATGTATACGGGAGTTCTATTTTACTTGTCATGATGTTTAGATAATGTTTAAAAAAATCAAAAAGTTTATACAAAATCTAGAATTCAAACCAAATTAAATCTTAAAAGATTAGGCTGCATTTTGTTTGACGTTTTTAAGCCGTTTTCCGTTTTCGAAAAGACAAAAAACGTGTTTGGTCCGTCGTTTTCGAAAATGCATTTTCGAAAGTGCAATTTCAAAAATGAGGTAGAATTTATAACTGAAAATCCAAAACAATTTTTTATTATTTTGAGCGTTTTCAGTTATAAATGTCCAAAATGCGCCGTTTTTCGGGAAAAAAACTAAAAATTGTTTTGAAATCGAAAAAGGAAAACGAAAAACTCAACCAAATGCAGCCTTGTTGATTTGTCTATGTTGCAAAGCTAAATTTGGACCATATTATTAGGCTTAATCGTTCAAGAAGAATAGTCCATATTATTATCAGTGAACCATATTGCCTAACTTATAGATGAATTTATTAACTCTAATTTAACACAAATTTTACTCTACTTGTTTTGATAGATCTCAAACTTGGTTGCTCATATCTAGTTGCTTGAATTCCGCACTCAATTTTACATCACTCTTGGATACACTCACTTAGTAGATATTAATTTGTTAATTAATAATTTGCTATTGATAATAGTTTTTATTCATGTGTTTTTTAAGTGTTATTGCCTTGCTAGTATATTAATATTAATTATGGAATTGTTGTTGTCTTGTCCACTTATTTTTAAATTGAATTTTTATTACTTTGTCAGCTTATTATTNTGTCGCATATCTTCTCTGTTCATGTTTCTCTCCCACCCTAAATATCTGTTCGTTTATTGTTGAGTGTCTGAGTTCGCACGATCGTGTCACCCCTCACCTTTGATTGGAGAATCCGCCTCTAACATAAATGTCGATGTCTGTAGATATCATACACGTGAAAGTAAGAGGAGTAGAGATCCATGGGCAACAGAATCAGTACATGTCCAAAAATCTTTGAAATTTAGCTAGCATTTGTGGAGAAAGTGATATTTTAAGTCGTTGAAGTTTCTGTACTTTGACTAGAGGAATTTATATAAGCTGTTTGAACTTCGAAGATGTTCAATTGGGGTGCCACTTGAGAATGTCGCCTAATTGACTAATACAATTTCTATGGCCCCACCTCATGATGTGTCCTCCCCCGGCATAACGCTCCTCATCCCCGTCATACCATTTGAAGAAGTTCTTGCCTCTTGGCATCTCAATTGAACTCCTGATCTCACTGCTTCACACAAACAAATGGTTGGGATAATGTACAAAAAAGTGGAAAATGGTTGGGGCAGAAAAGAGTATACTGCAAAAGCATATAAACTTGCCTCACCTTCACCACCATAGAATTAATAACAGAAAGAAGCAACAAGTGAGAGATGTTCCAAAAGGGTGTTTGGCTATAAAAGTTGGGCAAGGTGAAGATGAGAAACAGAGAATTGTGATCCCTCTTGTGTATTTCAATCATCCATTGTTCATGAAGTTGTTGAAAGATGCAGAAGAAGAGTATGGCTTCGACTACGAAGGCAGGATAACCATTCCTTGCCATGTTCAGGACTTTCGATATGTTCAGGGCATGATCGATGATGATATGGAGGAGCATCACACTCACCACCATCATGTTGGCTGTTTTAAGGTTTGACAGACATAACATCTGTCAATATCTTACTTTGAATTTTCTATTTTCTATATGATAATGTTTTTCTTGCAGTTAAGCTAGTGCTTTTGTCATTTTGTAAGCAGAGAAATTGGTATTACTATGTTGTTTCTATATACTATTATCTATAACTAATTTTAGTGAAGACAAGAAAAAAATCTTCATTCGATTGTCTGATTGAAGAATACAGCATGCAGATGATATTGTGGAAGAGAGAAACAATTTAGTTCATAGTGTTGGAAACAATGGGGATGAAAATGAATCAAAACCTGAAAAAAATTATCAAGATTTGAACACTTGACAGCGTTGTCTTACTGCTATATTTGCCTCCACTTGATTCTTGAGATTGCTTACAGGATGCACCAGCAGATAGTTTTGAGGATTATACAAGCCTTCAAAGATTAATCACAAAGCAATTAGGGAAAAATCCGAAAGAACTTTAAGAAACACAATGATTTCTGAATGGTTTCATGTTGGAAGTTCGAGCATTATTTACGGATGTTAATGTTATGTCTTTTCTATCTAATAACATCAATTTATATCGATGAAAACACAGTTTGAATGACTCTACACTACTTACGATGAAAATCCACAACAAACCACCTAAATTTGAATCATTAAGTAAATTTACAAATAATCTAAAAATATTTTACTAAAATTGAGGGAAAATATGGTGTTATTGTTACATCAATTCTCAGGGGCTGAGAGTTAAACATAATGTTGAGTGGTACAAATATCATATTTATTCAAATCGACCAAATTACGACCAGAATTTTGAACTAGAGGCTTAAGAACATAAGAAATCTACACACATTGCTAAAATGATTGGTGCATAATCATACTCGGGCTTATTCATCTCAACCATGATCTCCTAAGGTCGCTGGTTGAAGATGGAGAAACCTCACCTGGAAGACTCTCTGTATAGCATGAAGAATAGTGGGATTGTTGTTCAAACCCTGCCAGATGTACTCCGCTAGTTACACTCTCAAAGCTTGGACTTCTCAAGTTATGACCCCCGTAATTTCCATAGCTATTACCTGCATTATAACTGTAAGGGTCTGAGACAGGGACTGGGTATGATAAGCGCTTTTTGGCTCCCTTTCTTTCCCTCTCTGGTGTTGACGGCCTGTGTCTTGGAGCACTCTGTGACCGAATCCTTGACTTGGCAGACTCAGTTGCAGCCATGTAATTAGGCATTGCACAACCAGTACCAGTCGAATGTGTAGTGTCCTTAGGCTTATTGTGTGGATGCAAACGCCCACCACTATCATAGGAATAATCTGACCCATTGCTTGGAGTTTGAGCCATGTGATAGCTTCTTTCTTCTCTTGCACAATGAGGACTAGCAGAACGGACTTTAGGTCTTGTTTTAGATGGTGAAGGTGTAACAGGGGAATACATTTGGTGGGCAGCTCCTGGTCGGTGAAGAGGGTAACTTGGTCTTTGCTGATGCTGAGCACTCGACATTCGGTAATTGGGAGCTAAATATGAATAAGGCTGTAGAGTATCGTAAATTTCCACGGTCTTAACATAGTCGCTTTGATCAGTTGAGGTTCTTCCTCTACCATCCCATGGCTTTGTTGCCATCCAACTGTCCAGCCACTGGTATTTTTCACCAAGCTCATTTTCACTGCATAATGATGTATTCCTACCACCTCTCCACATCTGCTAAATATATTGTGATGCATAAGATTTGCAAAATTAGATATGCCGAAAGGTATTTCTCTCTTAAAGGGACAAAAATGCTTCAAGGCATCAATAACAAGATTCAAATTCAACAGCAGCATAAAAGGCATTACAGATACAAATGTTTTGGCATGCACGGACAGTTATAAGGGTTCATTTTTACCTGTTCAGGCAAGGCTTGTGATAAATTTCTTTCGTGCCTCAGGGCAGCTTCTTTTCTATTCTGTAACATTGCTTTTAACTCATCAATGTTATGTGGACGGTCATCCCAATTTTCTGGAATGCTGCTTCCATCCCTTGACTGGAATTCACAGTCGCATTGGAATATCAAATTAAACTTATGAAAATGTACATATAACAAGTTGATACAAGGTAAAGTTAACCCCTTTACCATGGATCTCCTGTCAGAGAGAGACATATCTTGGAGGCACCTTGATTCTAACCTATTGGTTTTGCTAAATGTCGATTTTCTGCTTCCTTCGCTTGATTGCCTCTTGCATTGGTCAAGGACCTGAGCCTGTACTCGAACAAGAGCTTGCATGCATCTCAGGGTCATCTTCGCTTGCTTCCGCACATTGTGACCCCTTACTAAAGCTTGCAATTTTACAAGCCCTTTTAATGCACAAAGAGCTCTCCTTGCCTTCAGATATACAAGTAACAACCAAATCCATTAGCCCCTTTCTTCCGGTGGAACAAGTAAAAGAGAGACGACTAGTGTTCGAGTTAATTTGGCTCTGCCTATATTAATGTAACATTACAAGTTTCATATATTTGACAAGATAGAGAATTTACTATCTTTCCCCTTGGGTACAAATTAATGATACAATAACTATTAAGATTTGAGGTTC